AAACCAATACCTTCTCAGTTTCTCATCAAAGCTAAAATGTACATAATATTGAATATTATATTATTAGTATCTTATAGTTCCATATATATTTTAATTTATCATATAGTGATTGTAAAAACCTTAGTTAAGAGTTCTTTTCACATTTTTAATGTCATCCTGATAGTATCTATCAAATCAGAAGGGATTAGGGGGATATATCCTTCATTGACACACCTTTTATACATATTTTTGTGCAATTTTCATTATATTTTACATTTTGGAAACATTATGTATGATAATTCAATTTAATAATTATTGATAATATAATAAAATATATATATTAAAAAATGGTAGCACAGTGGGGTCATGGCACAGTTTGAGCGTGGCAAAATTGAGACTAGTAAAGATAATAACTGACAGTGATTAAAAAAACTATCATAAGAAACGTTTCGACGCAATTTTGTAGATAGTGTTTAATTTTAAGACATTGGTGGATTATTCAAAAGCAAAATTCTAACTCAAAAATAATCGAGAAAAAATTGCAGAAAAATCATTGCCACATATGATAAATTAAAATATATAGGGAACTATAAGATACTAATAATATAATATTCAATATTATGTACATTTTAGCTTTGATGAGAAACTGAGAAGGTATTGGTTTTACTATGATGTGTTTTTTTTTTTTTTTGTGTCTGTTATCACTTTTGCTCAGCTCTCACCGAACGGATTTCTTTCAACGATACGTCAAAAGATCACAAATCGTATCTAGTCGAAGACATTACCCTTCAAAATTGAAAAAATTTCCCTCGTTCCCCGTAAATGGGGGAAACCTCCAAAAAAATTACAAATTTAAAAATCGCTAATTTTCNTCCAAAAATATTTCAAATTTTAAAATCACTCATTTTCGAAATTTTTTTTATTAAAAACTGCCATAACTTTTTCAAAAATGAACATACATTAGCGCTCAAAAGTACTTTGACAAACACATTACTTTTTCAAAAATGTATCATTATAATTTTTTTTTATAGATGATTGATGTCTTGACCTATCATTTAGTATATTTTTTTCATAAATTTAGCCCTTTACCAGCCCACAGGGGGGGATTTAATATGACATTTTTTTCACAAAAAATTAACTTTTTCAACTTAACTTTTGAAAATGTTCCGGAAGGTCTGACACTTTTATATATATCTTAAATTAAAGCAAATTTAATGTACTTTATTATGCAAAAAAAAAAATTTCGGACTTTATTTTAGCTTCACGGTGAAAATGGCTACCGAATGCTATTATTGTATGAAAATTTTTTATTTTATTTTTAACTATATAATGCTATAACTTATTGAATAGTGTACGGATCAACACAATTTTTTTATGAGAAATAATATTTTTTAATAATTCCTTTTTCATTCGACATACTTTATCTTAATCAGGATATTAATAAGGAACTAGCAGATCATGTAGCTTTTGGAATAATCCACCAATTTTTTAAAATTAAACATTATCTAAAGATTTGCATAGAAGCGTTTTTTTTATAGTTATTTTAATCACTGTCAGATATCATTATACTTGATCCAACTATGCTACGTCACCACTGTGCCGCGACCTCCTGCGCTGGGTTTTTTTTTTATATTTTTAACTTAATAATGCTATAACTTTTTGGAAAATGTATGGATCAGTAAATTTTTTTTTTATAGATGCTTGATGTCTTTAACTATAATTTGGTATATTTTTTTTATTAATCTGACCCCATATCTGTCCACCGGGGAGGGGATGTAAAATGACAACTTTTTCACAAAAAATTTACTTTTACACTTAACTTTTGAAAGTTTGAAAATGTTCTGGAAAGTCTGACACTTTTATGGATTAGTAAATTTTTTTTTTATAGATGCTTGATGTCTTTATTTATAATTTGGTATATTTTTTTATGAAAAAAAAAATTTCGGACTTTATTATGTCTTTACGGTGAAAAAAGCTGCTGAATGCTATTTTTGTGTGAAAATTCTCGATTTTATTTTTACATTTTAAACTTTATAATGCTATAACTTATTGAAAAGTATATGGATCAACACAATTTTTTTATGACAAATAATATTTTTTAATAATCTCTTTTTTATTCGTGATATTAATAAGGAAATAGCAGACCATGTAGCTTTTGTAATAATCCACCAATTTTTTAAAATTAAACACTATCTAAAGATTTGCATTGGAGCGTTTTTTTTTATAGTGATTTTAATCACTGTCAGATATCATTTTACTTGATCCAACTATGTCACGTCACCACTGTGCCGCGACCCCCCTGTGCGGGGTATTTCTATTTATGGTATCAAGAAAAAAGCAGACGGTCAATGCTTACGTTGCACACTTTTTTCTTAAATATTTAAAAATGTTTAATATTAGTATTGTAATATTTTACTTTTTATTTTGTTACATAAATTCTGAAGTATGCCCTATTTGTTTGGATGAATTTAGCCTAGAATCGTACTTTTTAAAATTCTGTAGACATTTGTATTGTAAAGTATGTTTAGACCAATGGTTACAAACCAATAGTACATGCCCGAAATGCCGATGTCCAATCGATGAAAATAATGGTAATTTAAGCAAATTATATACATAATTGATATCTAAAAATTACCTATAGTTATCTAATCCAATGCCACTCTCGAAACTATGCCTTTGCTGTTCTTTGATCTCTTATTAAATATTATTAATTTCATGAGCTCTAAAATTTTAAGTGTATATATATCTAAACGAACCTGCACATTTAAAACTTTTGTAACATTCAATAAAAACTAATTAATAATGTTGTAACTCAAAAATGATAGAGACGAGGGAATAATATAATATAATTAAGTTAAAAGAACAAGAATAATATATAATATATAATATTATGTATAGATGCGTTGGTTGAGCAGATATTGAAATAATTGAGACTCTTATGGTCTTAAGCTTAATTCCTTATTATTAATTTTTTTGAGTTACTTTTTATATCGGGGTCAGTGTTCCGAGGGTTTTCTCTTTTTTTTTACTAATATAATTCCAAAGAAAAAGGAATATTTCTATTCATATGTGTATGTAAATTTTAATTTACTAAAAATTCAGAGCAATGGCCAACCATAAAATAACAGCTCAAACGAAACCTGCTCTATATGGATTTTATTCTACCAAAAGTACTTAGCTTAATTTTTACCTTGAATCGAGAGCAATCGCCAACCGTAAAATAACAGCTCAAACGAAGTCTGCTCTATATAGATTCAGTTTTACAAAAAGTACTTATTTACTTTATTATTTATATTAAAATTTTATGTTCAGCATATTTGCTTACCTTTGAATAAGTATTCTTTTTTTTCTTTTTTTAAATGTGTCTTTTCACACTGATGATGTTGATGGACTAACTGACATTCAGAGATTCTAAGTGCAAGTGAGTTTTTTATGCCACGTTAACCCGTATTTTATACTTTTCTTTTAATTCAATTAGGGATCAACATCATTAGTGTTTCCAGATATTTTTATTGACATATAATTTAATTGTGATCAAAGTTTACAATATTTTCTTTAAATACACAATAATATGAGTAATAAGATGATAACATAATTTTTGTCACGTTAATACTATTATTACAACAATAAATAAATATCAATAAGTCGAATAAACATATTAGTAATATAAATATCAATATGAATTTATATTTATTTTTGTTTCTACATTATTATTCAGGAAAATTGCTTTTGATAAAGAAAAATCTTAGTTATTGTGAAATCAAATATGGTAATACAATGAATAATTTCATATACTCTTAAATTTGAATACTTTTAGTGGTATAAAATAAAAATACAAATACTACTATAAATATACAGGATGATTCATTAAAGATAAGACACTCATTTACTCAGTAACTATTGAAATTTTTTAATTTTAGGTAAGGAAAATATTGTTTGATTCAAAAAACACTACAATAATATGTAGTAAAAAAAATGATATTTTTCATCCTTTCAAGGTTAAAAAATATTAACTTAATTTTTTTTTAATGAGAGCACATTTTGAATTTAATACAATGTACGAATTTTTAATATAACTTAATTCGTTTATTAGATATAAACACTTAAAGTTTCAAATTTTTGAGTTAATATACATGTATAGTACACATGGGATTGTAAATACAGGTAGCTAATTGGATTTTTATGACATTGCTGTCTCAGTCACGGATTGTTTATTATCAATTATGATTATCAATAGATATATTTTCTGTATTGTCAGTTAGTGTATTTATATACTCATAACAATGTGTCTTACTACAATTGATAATAACAACGCTGTGTACCTGCTAATATCGATGTTATAAAAAACCAATTAGCTACCTGTATTTGTAATCCCTTGTGTATTATACCTGTATATTAATTCAAAAATTTGAAACTTTAAATGGTTATATCTAATAAACGAATTAAGTTATATTAAAAATTCAAATGCCATTTATTATTAAATTAAAAACTCAAACATTTTATTAAATTAAAAATATGTGTTACCATTTAAAAAAACTAATATTGTTTAAAGTTAATGTTTTTTAACCTTAAAGGGATGAAAAATATCATTTTTTTTACTACATATTATTGTAGTATTTTTTGAATCAAACAATATTTTCCTTACCTAAAATTTAAAAATTTCAATAGTCACTGAGTAAACGAGTGTCTTATCCTTAATGAATCACCCTGTACTATGTATATTTATAGGTCAAGATGGTTGTATTGTACTTTCAAATGGTAAGCAAAATGTACTATATATAGGAGTAGGTAATGATGGTGATGTTTTAAATAATATGCAGAAAATTAATAACATAAGATTAATATTACATAACATTACCATTGTTGTTAATAATGTGTCTATAAAAAATGTCGAATAACAAAATATTTAAAAATTTATTTTATTCATGTTTTTAACTTTTTGCATATTTTTTATTATTATTTTTATAATTGAATACATCTAAAAAGTGTTAATAGGCAAAATTTGATGAATAGAGTTATAGAAAAAATTAATTTTCGATTTATCTTTCGGCTAAGTTTAGTTTTTATGAGTTGAACCTTCATTAACTGAATATATAACTTACAAATAATTTGAGGTAAATGTATTAAACTTATTTTCAAATTTATGGTTAAAAATTTAATTTATAACTTGTTTTTTTTTAATTTTTGGAACATCATTTGTTTTTAATCATTTAAAAATCATTTGGATTTATTTGGGCCTAGAATTGTCTATTTTTAAAAGTTAAGGCACCTTTTGGGTAGCCATTGTTCAATACTTAAAGCTATATATATACGAATTTTACACCCCTTATCATATACTCACTCATATTTTACTATGGTTCCATACATTTACACCTTGTATAATTAAATATATTTGGCCTGGTTGCTCCTTTCGGCGTGATATAAAAATATTAAAAACTTGTTGAATTATTATAAATATGATAATAGAGAATGACTGGTTGATAACAACTTGGACTAGTATTTCAGAATTTTTTACTAATTTAAAATAATGGCTGGAGGTGAGACGCAGGTGTTGCTATTTTATTACTGAACGGTTTTTGTTCTCACTCTTCATTTTGACACGATGTTGAATTATTAATAACTTTTGAAAAATTGCTATATATTTTTTACTTTGACAGGCCCAGATTGTTCAAGTTCTGAAGAGGATATTGAAAGTAAAGTTCATCACATAAGCTTTAATTATAAGAATAAGTTATATATCAATATTTTTTTCTAACTAAAACATATTAACATTTATTTTTAAAAAACGTATCACAGTGGGGTCGAGGCATAGATGGGACAAGTATAGATGATATCTGACAGTGATTAAAATCACTATCATAAGAAACGCTTCGATGCAAATCTGTAGATAGTGTTTCCTTTAGAGAAATTGGTGAAATATTTTAAAAGCAACATGAACTCTTATTTCTTTAATTATATCCTGATTAGTAGTTCTTTGATTTTAAAATATAATATATGAATAAATACTAATTATAGTTTTTAAATTTAGTATGAAATTGTGAGGCCAGCTATGATGTATGGTTCATAGTGTTGGGCGGTTGATAAGAAAGTAGAGCAGAGAATAAGTGTAGCAGAGATGAGAATGCTTAGTTGCATGAGTGGAGTGACTAGAGAAGATAGGATAAGGAACAAGCATATTAGAGGAAGTAAAGGTGTTGCGTCAATCGTGGATAAGATGACAGAAAATAGACTTAGATTGTTTAGTCATGGTATGAGGAAAGAAGAATCGAAAGCTGTAAGAACAGTTATAGAAATGAATGTTGAAGGAAGAAGAGATAGAGGAAGACCAAAAAAGAGATGGAGGGATGCTATTGAATGCGATTTGAGGACAGCTGATGTGAGCGTAGAAGATGTGGGAGATCGTGTCAAGTGGAAGCTTAGGATAAGGGTGGCCGACCCCAAGTAGTTGGGATTAAGGCAAAGAAAAAGAAAAATATTACCAGATATTCCGGTGGCAATTGACATAATATGATTGTTATTTCGGAATGTACAATTTAGCGTTTAGTTGGGTTTAAATAATATAGCGTCAAATCAATTACCTACTCTATCGGTTGTATCTCAATATACACTACACTTTAATGATACAATAAATAAATAAACTCACACATACACACATATGCATTTATAACATTGTGTCTAATGTAAGTATAACATGATAAAAAGTAACCGTAAAATGAAAAAAATGGAATATAAATTTTATTACTCATATTAAATGTAATGTAACTCGAAAAATATTTGTTTAAATGAAAAAATATAAGATTATATTTTTATTTATAATTGTCTTTTAAACAACTTTTGTGCGAAACTTTTTTTTGTAAGTTAAATATTTTTTTTTGAGAAAATTAAGAAAGCTCATATTTTTGAACTTTTGCGAGGATTTAAAAAAAAAGCTCAATTCCAATCTTGAGGACTATTAGTATGTCATTATACATATTTTAATTCAACTTTTAAAAAAACAAAATTTTTTCCGCAATTTTTCCTTTGTTGACAGGCCTAGATGTCAATTTTAAACTTGTAATTGAGCTAAAAGTTATGGTAATATATTCAATTTATTTTACTATAAACTTTCATAAATCTTTATCAAAAATTTTTCATCAACTTTAAAGAACCAAAAAAATAGGTTAAAATTGAAAATTTGGACTGATTATTTTTAACATATTAAAAATCAAATCAGTAATAATTTGAAAACAAATTTTTTTTTCTTTTAATTATTATTTTATATATATAATTAGTAATAATATAAAAAATTAGAAGTGATAGAAATAGTCTACTTGCAGATTTGAAAACAACGCGAAAATTTGATTTAGAAAAGTATATTTTTGCTTCTGATGAAAGTTCCTTGTAGTCCAGTGCATTTTTTTATAGTAACAAACAGTTTTTATTGAAAATTATTGTATCAAGCCCTTTAAATTTTTATACACGTAAAAGTAAAGCAAAATATAACTTCTTTATTATTTTTATAATTTCTCCGTTTAAATTACAATATTAAATATCAATTTCATACTAAATTTAATAATTATAATTAGTATATATTCATATATTATATTTTAAAATCAAAGAACTACTAATCATGATATAATTAAAGAAATAAGAGTTGATGTTGCTTTTGGAATAATCCACCAATTGCCTAATTAAAACAAAAAAAAAAAAAGTTTGTTGGGAATTTTTTCTGCTATTCTGCAAAATTACTCCTTCGTTGACTAGAATGAATCATTAAATAGAAAATTTTATGAGAATTAAAACAATGTTATTTTTAAGATTAATATGCAGTCAGAAAGTTTTATAATTACTATTTACAGTATAGTTATCAGAAAAACTCATTATTTTTTTGCATTTTTATCGTAATAGAGTACTTGAATAGAAATCATAGTAATCATTTTTAAGTAATTTTTGATATTTAAAAAGATTCTACTATTGAAATATCCAGAACTGAATTAATTTTAATGATTTACTTTAACTAAAAAAAAAAAAGTTAATATTTTGAATCCCTCTTGTGGGCAGGTAAAGGGTTAGATTTATAAAAAAAACCAAATGATAGATAAAGACATGCATCTAAATAAAAAAAAATATACTGATTTGGTCATTTTTGATAAAGTTATAACAATTAACAAAGTTATAAGTTTTATACACTGGACTACAAGGAACTTCCATCAGAAACAAAAATATACTATTCTAAATCAACTTTTCGCGATGTTTTAAAATGTGCAATTAGACTTTTTCTATAACTTCTAAGTTTTAATATTATTAAAAAATAGTTTTTACATATAAAAAAAAATAATTAAGAACAAAAAAAATTGTTTTAAATTAATACTGATTTGATATAATATTTAATATTAATTTGATTATTAATAAGTTAAAAATAAGGAAAATGACATATTTAACCTATTTTGTTAATCGTTTAAAGTTGATTGTTGTAAATGTTTATAATAAAAAAAAAAAATTTATTTTACCATAACTTTTAGCTCAATTGGTAAGTTTGACATTGACATAATTAAATAGAAAATTTTATGACAATTAAAAAAATTGTATCGTTAAGATCAATATGCAGTCAGAAAGTTTTATAATTACTATTTATTGTAAATTTATCAGAAAAGCTCAATATTTTTTTGCATTTTTATGGTAATAGATAACTTAAATAGAAGTAATAGTAATAATTTCCTAGGAACTTTTGTTGTTTGTTGAAAAGATTCTATAATTGAAATATTGAGAACTTAATTAATTTTAATGATTTACTTTAACTAAAAAAAAAAATTAATATTTTGAATCCCTCTTGTGGGCAGGTAAAGAGTTAGATTTATAAAAAAATAATAGATCACTTAAATAAAAATCATAGTAATTCATTTCTAATTAACTTTTGGCGTTTAAAAAGATTCTACAATGGAAATATTCAGAATTTAATTAATTTTAATGATTATTATCTAAAAAAACCAATAAAAAAAAAGTTGTTAAAAAGATTTACTCAATTGAGTGTATTATAAAATTTGATTATAATTGTAAAAATTCATTGTTAAATTCAGGTGAAACTAAAAATCTTTTTTTTTTTAAATTTAAGATTTATATAGCAACATGTTACAAAAAAATTTGGAATATTATAGACTGGTAGTAGCACACACAAATAGAGTTAAAAAATTAATAAATTACAAAGTAAAATTATTTACTTTTGTAGTTGAATACTTTTATCATATCAAATCTAATTAGACAATAAATACTTAAAGAATATTAGAAATTAATGATTTTAATTGTTTGTATGAAGAATCTGGTTATGCTACTTTTTATTTGAATAAAGAATATTTTTTTTATTTTTAAGAGTAATAACTTAAATATAAACTAAATACGAATTGTAATCATTTGACGTATCATTGAAATAAGTAGGTCTAGAGAGGGTTGTCAAAATAAATCGTAGCTACAAAAAGACCACATTGTGAAATAATATTAACATGAATATAAATTTCTTCTCACGAGGGGAGACTTAAGTGATGGGATCCTTAATATTTATTGAAGTTATTGAATCTAAATAAGATAAATATCAAATGATTTGAAAATTTTATTCTAACTCAAAAAAAAATGGCAAAATTTTAGATGTCACAGACGAATTTGGACCTTCGTACCCTAGGCGTGTAAGATCAAGATGTTACCCATTCGGCAACTGTTCGTTGCTTTTAGTTGCATGATAAAATTGGCTATTTAAGCTAACTCAAATTTAAAAATTACTTTTTGGACTTTAAAAAAGTAAAAAAATTTAATAAGTTTAATTTCTTATGTCTTATGAATTTTATTCTATGTCAATTAAATTATATAATATTCATGAAAGTCAATATATTCTCCTAATAAGATATTTTAAAATAAAATAAAATACAAAACCTAGAATTTTAATAGAAAAATAGCATATTTTTGAATACGGTAGCCATTTGCGCATAGAAGATAGGTCGTCGGGACAAATTTTTTTTTTT